AAAAGATCCAAAATTGAAGCCACAGGCTTTTAAATTTGAGGACAGGAAAACTCCAAAAACACCAAACAACTTAACAGAGAGAGCAACGGTTCTTTATCGGTTTAAAGATGCGTTTGTTGAGTGTGTTTGCGCTGGTGTGCTCACCTGCTTTGACCTCAACTGTTCCCCTGTCGCTGCTGCTCTGTCCTTTACTGTCAGTTACAGTCAAGGTGAAGCTGTACTTTCCCTCCACCAGGTTTCCCAGAAACAGCACCGCCTGGTGGTCAGAGTTGTTCAGCACGTCCTATCGGAACAAAACACAACGAGGTGAAGTTAACCACCCTAAAACCATCATCAGACATCCGCAGTATCAGGAGATTACTGTGGTTTAAATGTTTAACCCTCTGGACGCTAAATAACACCTGGGCGGTCTTTGCTCCTCTATTATGTTTCATCACTGAGGTTCATGTTTCACATGTTTAACATAAAGTCCTGCAGCGCTGTGGAACCAGAACAACCACGAGGAAGGACAGAGAACTCAGAAATATCTTCTGTCAGCAAGACACAGTTGGAATGATAAAAAAAGGAAGAAACAAAAGTTATATTTCTAGTTCATGTGTCCACTTGTGTTACCAACAATGGAAATATAAAGAGGCTCTACATACTAGAGATATGTTACGACTGACATTTTAATGTTTTTTTCACACTTGTCATCTGTTCTGAGTCAGTCATGGCTTCATGGTTCCAACGAGAAGCACAAAATTTTTAGTTTTTACAGAATGTGTTCAGTGCAAACGATTTATTTTTAAAATTTTATAACTAGATGTAGAATAAAATGATTTTGATTAGATATCATGATTTTAAGCTGAGAGTCAGACCATTTTTTCAAGAGTCATTGTTGGGAAAGTGGAAAATCTGATGATTTTTTCCTGTTTTTATAGTTTCTTGCTGACAAATAGTGTGAATTTGGACCCACCAGCGTGTTTTGGGGTTCATATTGTTAGAAGATCCAATTTTTGTGTAATTTTATCAGAAGCAGGGCTCGTTCTGGTCTACAAAGTTTATTGTGGCTAATGTGAGAAAGTCAAATCAATGTTTGTCCTGATGTTGTGGTACTTTTGGTTTAAAATGACTTTGGCCATGTTGCCATGAGAGTTTGTACTAAAAGGCTGGATTTTTGGGTCTGGTGCTGGTACAAATTTTAAAGTATGAATTAAATTTTGATATTTTTGAAACAGATAACACGACTTTCAAACCCACAGGCGAGTTCTGGTGTTCAGAGGGTTAAAGGTCTTGAGTTTCTCTAGTTTAATATTCTGTCCGCTAGAAACTGCTGTAAACTGAACTGGAGCAAACAGCAGTTATTTGTAATATTAATAATTAACAGCAGTCGGTCTCACCCCAGCAGCAGGACTGCTGTCTTCTCTGGTCCACAGGTAACTGACTCCACCTTTATCGTCGGTGGAGTGGGATCCGTCCAGGGTGGCCGTCCTGACCGGCAGAACGATGGACGGACTCGACACAACGTGAGCCACCGGAGGCTGGTCCTTCTCTGGAGGACAAACAGGAAGGAAGACTTTTGGAAAACACTTCACTGTGTTTATCCAGTAAGAGTCAGTCTGTCCTGCTGGGCGCCTTCTTACATCTACACCAGTTCTACCAGAAAATGTTCCAAACGTTTCATCCAAGTTTAGATCTAAGTTCTACCTGTGGTAGCGCTAATCTAATAGAGACTGTTCAGATTGTGGATGAAGTGTGTGTATTTAAGAAGCATTTGTAAACTAAAGAAACATCAGTGTTCAGTCATAGAGGCAAAAAAAGCAGAAAATATCCGTTTATATTGTTGATGTTTACGACCCAGTTTCTCTTTCTAGAAGCCACAATTGTTGTCTTGTTTTGATTAACATAAAAACATGTCTCTGTCTCTGTATGAGCGAGTCCTGGACCAACAGGACAGTGTGAGCAGAGTTGACACCTCAATGTCACTACGAAGACACAAAAACAAGTTGCACACTCAGATCTGTCTTATCAGACAGCAGAGGATATTACCTCCTCTCCAGGTGAGCATTTTATGAGACTATGACACTTTAATGAATGCATATTTACAGTCATTTTACGAGCACCAGGTCTGAGGTATTTTATTAACTGTGCAGCCCACAGCAGACGGACACAATAGACAACATTCAGGTGGACCGTTTGTTCAGTTTAAAAGTTCAGGAAGTGTTCTGGCAAATTGTTATCAGAGTGATATAGTGTCAGGAACAAATCACACATCACTGGTTGGATAGTAAAAACGTGCAACTTAATGTGTTTATAACATGATAATAATACCACTGATGGATTGCTGTGTGTTCCTACAGTGGGTGTCGCTACCCTTTCTATTCCTGATTATTATTATGAGTTTATGCAGACACACGGTGTGTAATATAAACTAATGCATGCTTACTATGCAGGTAGCTGTGTGCGACTGCACTATAACAGTACACCTGTGTGTGTGTGTGTGTAGATGTAATTACGTTTATGTAGATTACAAAGTACAAAATAAAAAAAACACTCCTAAAAAAACAACATGAAACGAGCTTCCATTGTGTCCTCAGAGCTTCTGATTACAAACATATATTTCACAACAACATCCGAAATCCTGAACAGACCGACTCCAACCTCAGACAGGTATTTAGTTAAAGACAGGATTAGGACACACACACACAGAAACACACACACAGAGACACACAGACAGCTACACACTCACTAACAGACACACACACACATACACAGACAGACACACAACTACACACAATCACACACACACACACACACAACTACACACACACAGCTACACACAGACACACAGACACACACACACACACACACATACAGACAGAAACACACAGACACATACACACACAGCTACACACACACATAGACACACACCTTCCTTGACGATGACGGTGACGGTGTCGCTGCTCTCCAGCCTCCTCTCGTCCGTCACCGTCAGGGTGAACTCGTACGTGCCGACCTCCAGACCCGTCACCGTGGCAACGGCACTGTCTGCGTTTTCAATCTTCACACCATCAGGACCGCTGATGGAGGAACAGACAGAAACACAGAGAGAGACGCTGAGCGTGTTTCTGGCTTCTAATGACTCCGACCAACATGCAGCAGCAGCAGCAGC